ATATATATATATATATATATATATATATATATATATATATATATATAAACATACACATACATATACTCCCATTCCTTGCAATAACTCCTGCTGACCTAGCAGTTAAAAAGCATGCAAATGCAAGCAGAGTAATCCCACTTTGGTGGGAAGGTAATAGCATTCTGTGCACCTTTGGCATATATCTATGCTGGCCACATGACCATGGAAAATGTTTTCAGACAAGACTGGATCCCTCAGCCAAGAAACTGAGATGAGCACCATCCCCAGGGTTGGACATGACTGACAGGGAAACCTTTACCTTTTATATATTAAAAACAAAATTAATACCCATAAACAATATGGTCCAGTTACAGTTGGGGAGGTAAGGAGCAGGGTGGGTGGGGATGGGATTCATTGTTAATCAATCAACCATCTCTACTGTGATTGCTCCCCCACTGAGGCCCCAAGCTAACTGGCAGAGCCAGGCCTTTAGGCCCTTATGAAAGGTTAGGAGGGTTATGGTCAGTGGTGGTATTCAAAAATTTTACCACCGGTTCTGTGGGAGTGGCTTGGTGGGAGTGATGTGGCTTACTGGGTGTGGCAGGGGAAGGATACTGCAAAATCCCCATTTCCACCCCACTCCAGGGGAAGGATTCTGTAAAATCCCTATTCCCTCCCTACCCCACTAACCTGCTTTCCAGCTCCTGTGAGAATCCTGTGCAGGACAACAAAAGAAGACCCAGCCAATCAACTGGGACTCTGATCAGTTGGGACTCAGGAGGCAGTGAATAGATGGGGGCCAGTCAGAGGTGGTATTTACTGGTTCTCTGAACTACTCAAAATTTCCTCTCCCGGTTCTCTAGAACCTGTCAGAACTGGCTGACTACCACCTCTGGTTAGGCTTGACCTCACATCGGAAGGAAAGATGTTCCTGAGGACAGGTGCAATGACAGAGAAGGCCCTTCTCTTGGACCCCGCCAACCAGAAAAATCGGGCCAATGAGGCCTGCAACATGCTGGCTCAGGTGGGACAGGCCAATCCCCGTGGGATGAGATCATCCATCAACTAGCTTGGACCAATGCCATGAAGGACTTTAAAAATGATTAACAATACACTGAATTGCACCCAGAAGCAGATTGGTAGCCAATGCAGCGTATGTAGTGTTACAAGGACCAAGAGTAACCCCATATAGAGCGCATTGCAGTAGTTCAGACAAGAGATTATCTGAATGACTGAGCGCAGGGACTTCTGATCCAGAAAAGGCCACACATGGCACAATAACTATATAAATTTCAATTCGACTCAATTCCCTTTCTTCCCTGGTATAAGTGCAGAGCCCTGATCTAGCTTCATTCATTTGCATGACAGTAAGTAAAGAACACATCCTTTGGATGTGGCATACTTTAATGCCAGGATGAGTTAAGACATTTATTTATTTTATTTATTTGATTTGTCAATTGCTTACAAGATAATAGGTATAAGGATAAATATAGTTATGAATACAAGAAATGAGTACATATAAGAAAAATAAAAGAAACAATAGGACGGGGATGGTAGGCACTTTGGTGTGCTTATGCACGCCCCCACAGACCTCTTAGGAAAGGGGTGAGGTCAATAGTAGAAAGTCTAAGGTTAAAGTTTTTGGGGTTTCAGGAAGAAACCACAGAGTCAGGTAGAGTATTCCAGACATTGATCACTCTGTTCCTGAAGTCGTATTTCCTGCAATCAAGTTTGGTGCGGTTAACCTTGAGTTTGTATCTATTGTGTGCTCTTGTATTGTTATGGTTGAAGCTGAAGTATTTGTTGACTGGTAGGACATTGCAATGTATGATTTTAAATACAATACTTAGATCGGACCGAAGATGGCATAGTTCTAGGTTTTCTAGGTCTAGAGTTTCAAGTCTGGTGGCATAAGGTATTCTGCAATGAGTAGTGCAGTGTAGAACTGTCCTTATGAAATATTTCTGGACTTTCTCAACTGTGTTAATATCAGATCCATAATGTGGGTTCCATACTGATGAGCTGTATTCGGGTATTGGTCTGGCAAATGTTTTGTATTCCCTAGTTAGTAGTGTGATATTGCCAGAGAAAAAGCTACGTAAGATTAGGTTAACAACTCTTAATGCCTTTTTGGCTGTGTAGTTACAGTGGTCTCTAGCACTTAGGTCATTAGAGATGAGTATTCCAAGGTCCTTGACAGAGCTTGGATCATCAACAAGGTCTTAACTATTCAGCTTTTATTTTCTGATTTTTTTATTTTCTGATTATTATTTTTTTGCCAATATGGAGGACAGAGCATTTATTTGTTGAAGTTGCCATTTGTTTGACCATTCTGATACATAGCCAAGGTCTTTTGGAAGGGTAGCAGTATTGTCTGAGGTGTTGAATAGCTTTACATCATCAGTGAAGAGAACACAGTTGCTCTTAATATGATCGCAGAGGTTATTTATGAAGAGAGTTGGTCCTAGAACACTGCCCTGTGGGACACCACTGTTGACAGGTACAGAATTTGATAAGACACTCCCAATTTTGACCATTTGTTGTCTGTTTGACAGCAATGCTTCTATCCAGTTATGCAGTTGTCGAAAGATACCATAAGATTTTAGTTTTAGTAGTAGTTTGTCATGTACCACTGAATCAAAGGCTTTACAGAAGTCTATGTAGATTGCGTCTATTGCTTTGCCCTGATCGAGTTGTGTAGTCCATATGTTTTTGCAGTGTATTACAGGATAGTTACATAATACTCATAAGCTTAATTGTCTCTTTTCTTCTTCATTACTGTCCTATTTTAAAAAACTGCCAGTGCCATCTACTGTTGAATAGCAGGGCTATACCTGAATTTAAAATGATGGGGAAAATTAAAAACAGTTTAATAGCTACTTGATTGTATTTGGATAAAGCTATCCTACAGTAGCAGGAGTACAAAAATTCAGATGAACATGAGATGGCAGCAAAGTGATTATGAAGACAGACACATCTCAGCAAACACCAAGAAAGAAATTTTATGCTACTGTTAGGGCAAAAATATCTTTTTTAAAAAAAGGAAAAGAAAAAAGAGTGTAAACCTAGCCCCAAATTGGGAGCGGGAAGGGGGTGATGTGGGGATCTAATATGAATCTACAGGCATTCCATTTCTTGGACCTGGAGAAATATGGGAAGTTCTGTATTCTTTCATAAGATAATACAGGTAGTCCTTGACTTATGACCACAACCAAGCCCAAAATTTATGTCGCTGAGAAATTTGTTAAATGAATTTTGTCCCATTTTAAGATTTCCTTGCCACATTTGTTGTGTTATTAATTTAGAATCCATAAAAAAATAAAATGTGTAATGGAAAGGGAATATGACAGACTAAAGAACCAGCTAAATTAATAAGTTAATATAGACTATTAAAAGCAAGGAGAGACATTGGTAACTTTATTATTACTATTATTAGGCAAATACATATTGTTTATTTTTAAAATAAATATTAAAGAATTATATTTGAAATAATTGAAATGAAACAAAAAGATGTCTCGATTGAGATTAATGAAAGAGTCTAGAATTAATGTGTTTGTTTCTCTCCTTACTGAAAATTTGGAATGGAAAAGGTAATAATAGAATTAAGTATGCATATATGAATGTATAATTGCTGTCATATTTGTATATAAAGGTGATGACCCGGAAATATGTTGTCCACTAAAAAGAGATTTTTGTTTTCAAACTGAAACACTGAATAAAATT